GAAATCGTGGCGACTCTAAAAATCCTTGGTGAGACCATATCTGGAATACGCCAATCAATCGTTAAACCCATTCCTGAAAAAAGACTAACCAGTGATTGAAAATGTTCAGCGAAGGGCAGCCAGATTAATCCCAAGCTTATGCAAATTAGCTTACTATGAAAGATTGAAAATTTCTAAGCTTCCTACCATGGAGTACAGAAGAAAACGTGGGCGTATGATAGAAGTGTACAAAAGCTTGAACTGGCTGCCCTTAGCCTAATTGTTGTGATAAACTTATTAAATAGATTTCTTTGTTCAAATTTACCGCTTGTGTGTTTTCATATCATATGCGCGCTAGGCTTTCCTCTTCTGGTTATCTTACCAAATCTCGCCGTCCCAGCCGTAGGCGAGTGAAATTTCCCTGGCGTAACTAGACGCAAGAAGGAGTGAGCTGGTGAATCGACCTCCAAATCGACGTCAGGTTGTACCACTCCTTTCTTTTTTTTCATCGCTTTTGCCTCAGCAATTTTAAACCCTAAGTGAAAGTATTCATAAATCACCCCAAAGAGCTTCCTTTCTCGCCCCAGTTGTCTGTGTTTCAGGTTGATGCCGCGATTCCAGGCAAGACGCATCCCTGAGTTCTCACAGAAACTAGTTATCGGGACTTCAAGGACCAAATATATCAAACCAGCTCTAGTAAAATCAACAATTCACTCCTACCGCGGCGCAACGCTTCATGATCTGTTTGAAACAGTTTTACAATACAGACCAAAGCGCCTAAATACAGTAACAATAGTTGCTGGATACAATGACAACAGGCTGCATCCACAAGAATTAGAACAGCAGTGGAAAAACTTGTTTAACCTCGTCACTAACAAGTTTCAGCCCAAGACACTGATCATCCCCAAAACAATTCAGAACTGTAATAATTCCGAAGTAAACCGCAAAATTTATATTAATAATCATGTGCTGTTTAATTTGATAAATAGATTTGTACACCCCCATACACTTATTGTTTCGCCTAACCTCAACCTAAATCTAACCCCTCAAATGTTCTGCCGTGATGGCATCCATTTCTCGTTCTACGGTAATGATTTCTTTACAAATTTTCTTGCAAATTTAATCTATAAATTCTCTCGCTAACTTGACACCGCCGTCCTTCCTAAAATGACTGCTCAAACACATTGCCTTATTTGTAAAAGCAGCCTGCGAGGCGGAGGTGTTCGGTGCTTCACATGCCCAGGCTACATGCATGTAAAATGCAGCGGCCTAGCCCGCAGCAGTGATCACTATGACGATTACAGTTGTCATCGCTGCACCTCCCAATTTCATTCAGCTAACGACAAGTATGAATGCAATCCCCCAACCCTAGCTACAACCACGCTCCCCCAAATGCACCCTCACCCTGCTACTGCCCCACACTCACAAAACTCAGGAGAGTCTTCCACTATAGAACCCAGAACAATACAAGACCCATGGTCAAACCCCTGTCCAGAACTCATAGAAACCACCAGGAAAATATACACCGAAGTGGTCCACTGGAAACCGGTCTTTATGATCTTGTCAAAAAATAAAGTTGGTTATAATTTTATTGAAACCCTCAATAGAACTTTGAACAGCCTAATAGAAAACAACAAAAATACCTTCGCAATGCACGCAGCAATGATTTTTCCACATTTATTACTGTGCAAAACAAAGTCCAAAACTGATGGATCTTTATCCAAAACAATAGCAAGGCGACTTAAGCAATGGCAAGACGGAGACCTGGATGGACTATATAACGAAGGAAAGGCGCTGCAAATGCGCTTGTTGAAAGGGAGTAGTAGAAAAACTGAAATTGAAGCACAACAGTTCAACAAACTAATGAATACTGGAAAAATATCAAGCGCAATTGCAAAACTAACAGACACATCTAAAGGCGTTCTTTCGCTCGACGAGATTGTCAAAGGTAAGACAGTAGATCAGACTCTCATAGAGAAACACCCACCATCTAAACCAATTGATGAGAACTATATTACACCAGTCTCAAACGAAACATTTCCTTTCGATCCATTGATATTTGATCAGATAAACAGTCAACATATCAAGAAGGCAGCGATGAGCACGCACGGACCATCTGGCCTCGATGCAAATGAATGGAGACGTATTTTAACACACTTCGGGCAACAATCAGTTGAAATTTCGAAAACAATTGCTAAAATTGCCAAAAAATTGGCCACAGAATAACTAAATCCAGAACTAATGGAACCATATAACGCATGCAGATTAATACCCTTAGATAAGAATCCAGGGTTAAGACCCATAGGCATAGGAGAAGTTATGCGTAGGATAATAGGGAGAACAATAACTAAATGCCTAAAAAACGAACTCATGTCGCTCGGTTCAAACTACCAACTCTGCCTAGGACAAAAAAGTGGCATTGAATATGCGATCCACACGCTAAGAGATCAATACAGCAAAACTTCCGCCGATGCTGTTTTACTGATAGATGCCGAAAACGCTTTCAACTCGCTGAACCGAATGCTGGCATTAAAAAACATCGAAAATACCTGCCCTTCCCTTTTAACAGCAATTAAGAACTACTACTCCAATCCATCCAAACTATTCGTTAACAAAAAAACAATCTACTCTCAAGAAGGGACAACCCAGGGGGATCCACTAGCAATGGCCATGTACGGTCTAGCCATAATACCCCTCATAAAACTTTTATCAGTAGACGATGTAACCCAGAAATGGTACGCAGACGACGGAAACGCAGTCGGTAAATTAAGCAATCTACGAACCGTCCTCGATAAAATTGTATCACTGGGTAAATTTTTCGGCTACCACATGAAAGCATCCAAATGCCAACTCATTGTCAAAGATGAAAAACTCGAAGAAGCTCAGAAAATCTTCGCAAATAGAGGAATCACTATAAAGGCAGGAGCCCGAGTGCTTGGTTCAGTTATAGGAACAGAATCTGAATGTAAAAAGTTCCTCGAATTTCAACAGAATGAGCAAATCAAAATTTTGAAAAAACTACCGAAAATTTCTAAAACCTCCCTTCAAAACGTTTATGCCTGCTATACTAAAGGAGTTCAAGAAAAGCTTTCATTTCTTGCCAGGACAACGCCTAACAATATGGAAAACTTAGAAATATGTGGAAATATTATCAAAGAACAATTATTACCTAACCTAGTCGGTAAAGACCTTTTAAACCCCCAGTTCCGTGAGATATCTTCCTTACCCCTTAAAATGGGCGGACCTAACATCAAGCTGCCGTCCGATCATGAAAGCTACCTAGAATGGTCTAAGGAAACATCATTGGTACTGGAATCTCAAGATCCTATTACAGCAGTAACACAGCAAGAAAAAATATGTACGAAAATCAAAAAATTGAAAACTGATAGAACAAATCGAAAAAAAAACAAACCTCATTAACTCCTTAAATGAAACAGATAAATACGCAATCGACCTGGCCTCTGAAGAGGGAGCCTCTAACTGGCTCAATGCTCTACCACTGAGCAGAGACAACTTCAACCTGAATAAATCAGAGTTCAGAGATGGTATTTACTTAAGATACGGATGGGAGCCAACCAAAACCCCACTCACATGTGCATGTGGTGCTGATTTCAACTTAACACATGCGCTTCACTGTGCAAAGGGTGGTTACACACACATTAGACACAATGAAATCAGAGACACATTCGCCAACCTCATGAACGAGGTTTGCCATGACGTCGAGATTGAGCCGAAACTTCAGCCGTTGCAAGGCGAAAGCTTTGTCAACAATTCAACTACAAATGAAGATGAGGCACGACTTGACATTAGGGCAAACGGACTCTGGGGTTCACGATTCAGCCGCGCTTTCTTTGATGTGAAAATATTCAACCCCCATGCCAAAACATCGCGAAAACTGCATAAGGATGCATACAAATACCACGAAACGCTGAGGAACTCCAAATATCAGCAAAGAATTTTAAACGTAGAGCAGAGTAGCTTCTGCCCGCTAATTTTTGGATGCACCGGTGGCGCTGCTCCAACAGCCACGCGGACGATGCAGCGATTGGCCGAAAAACTAAGTGAAAAAAGACAAGAAAGCTATCCAGAATCTATAAACTACATAAGAACTAAAATAAGCTTCGCGCTCCTGGGGAGCTCTATACTTTGTATAAGGGGGTGCAGATCGCTACGCAAAGTTCAATTTATCGACAACTCCATAAGCGCTATTGTAGAGGAAGGACGGCTAAGATAAATTAACATTATGACGATGCATTTAATGCTGATTTATGACTTCATTGCTGATATATATGCATTTTTATATCGCTGGTATGGCCCTATCCAGCTTGTGCACTTACCGTAACTAAACGGAAGGGCCCCTTTTGTAATTTAGTTTTTTTTTAAAAAGCTTGAACTGTCGCTACGATGTAACAGCAACTGAAAGAATGTTTACAAAAAAGAAATTCTCGTGCAATCCGTGCAAATTGATCACGCACTTGTTTACGAAGTAGTTTCTTCACTATAGCAGCCATAAACGACTGGAACTCACTACCAGAGTAATTTCCAGCGTTCAAATCAACTTGTTCAAATCGAGGCTAGATAAACACTGGAAAAACGACATGTATGATACATCCTTTCTCGAATGGCGAATTGAACGTCCACAGAAGGAGCTGATCGACAGAGGCTGAAAAGCCTATAGATGAGAAAAATACCTGTGGGCAAATCGGGATGATTGAGAAGAGTCTGCGACAACCCTCACATAAGCGATGGCGGACCTCCGACTATCCGAAGTTGATGCAGATATAGGATCTCATTTGTCTGGTGCACAAGAGATGTTAGAGAAGCCGTTTTCCAATGAGCCCCATATCCTCAAGTGCATCCATCCCGAAGTTAAGCCGAAGACAATTCCGATATTCACAGCAAAATACTCAACGATATCGATAACAATCCAAGTAATGATGATTTACAGATCAGATTGTTCACGCTCCCAAGTCGTTGTCTCGGTCAACATGACAGAGGTGTGAGTGGCAGTAGGAAGTCATTGGCTCAACTAATGAACAGCCAGTTAGAAATATTCTCCAAATAGCGCGAAATCACCATCCAAACAGCTAGGAAACGGAAGAAACCACACAAAACGTCCGCAAGCGAGAAACTAGCTAGAGCAGTATGCTCGAAGATCGACGAAGGCGGCATTATATGCTTTGTGCGCCTTTTGACATCCGATTGCGGAATAGATGACAACAATGACACGATGATGAAACTAGAAGAAAAGCAATAATCTGAACCATTTGACAGGCGTTCCTTTCAAGTTCAAACTGCGATACCTTGTC